GTCCCGGTGTACGTTAACAGCACCAGCCTTGCCGGGTGCACCTATGGAGTGGTGGATAGTGCAGCCTTTCCTGGATGGAAAAAGCAACCGAGGCTGGTTTATTTATTTGTTTTGAGAAGGGGTTGGCGTTTGAAATGCATGGCATTCATGCCTGCCTGCACCCCCAGGCAGCACCTTGGAGCCCTATGAATAAGTAAACGGGGAGATTTGTTCCCTGGGATAAACCTTAGTTTGTGCTGGTTTTTGGAAGTGCACCCAGGGGTCCAGTGGGATGTGGCAGCTTTCCAGGGAATGGACGAGTTCTCCATCATCTGCATCTCAGCTTGATCCCAGAAGGGAGCAAAGGGGAGAAAAAGTAAACCAGGCTACGGTCTGATTAGTGGATTTTTTTTTTTTTGGAGGTAACTCTTCTTTCTTCCAGGTCACTATAGCTTTTTATCTAGAAAAATGAGTCCCCCAGAAGATGGGTGTTTGTTGAAAACCAGGAAGGGGGAAGGGCCGGTCACTGCTCCACTCCTCCACTCTGATCACGCAGAACGTGCAGCATTACAGCGCCGAGTTTCTGCCAGAGAGCTGCAGAAGCAGGTCCCAGGGGCCCGAGCGCTACCGGGCATTTGCCTTGCAGGGTTTTGTCTGAGTGAATTCAAAGTGCTAAGACAGAATTGGCTCTGGAGAAAGAAAAACATTCTGGAAAGGAAAAAAAGGATTCAGGAGGTAGAGAATAGATGAAGAAGATGGGGGTTAAGAGTCAAGACAGTTGAGGACGTGAGAAGTTTAATAACTTTTTGTTCTGAATCAGTAACTTAAAAAGCAAGAAAATGGCCACAAAACGTTAGACTTTTTCAAGCAATAATATAGCAGTTTTGCAACACTGTCAATCGTCTGCTGATGGAGGTTCTCTATTCCTTTTTTGTAGCAGAATAGACAACAGTGGTATAGTCTTGTTTTTAATCATTTTCTGTGTATTTACTTTGCAATTTCTGATTGCTTAGGGTATGCTCGCTTCATGTCTTTTCTCTAACTGCTAGTTCCCTGATAGCTACCGCAGCGCAGTTGAGTAAGAGCCCATGAAATTCCTGTTTCCTTGTGATAAATGTGAAGTAACTGAAGGTCACCTACCCTTCAAAGAGAAGAGTGAACTACCTCTGTTTACCTGTAAGAACGCATACTTGGGCAGTTACTGCAGACCAGGGAACACGTGGTAAGTTGTTCCTGGAGACCTGGGTTTTGTCTGAATGCTGGGATTTTTGTGCAGTTTTCCGATTCCAGCAGCCAGGTCTCGGAGAAATACTCAGCGCTCTCATATGGAGAAAACCCAGGAGGTGGCTGCACTGCCCTGTCTGAATACCTGAAGTGGCAGTGCTGTTTTAGAGTGTATGAGTGGAACTGGGGCGTAGGAATAGTAAGAACGGGGTAAAACTGAAAATAAGAACTAAGGAACAAAGACATGCTAAAAGTACATTTTGGCTACAGGCTTTTTAAACATAGCTTTTCAGATTGCTTTTGATAACTGAGATTGTTATATCGGGATGTATTCCCTCATCTAACTTCAGCCAGCCTGCCACCTGTGAGAAAGCAGTGCTGGAAAAAACCATACTTCTGGTTGTAGGGAGTCAGAAGTGATTAGTTTAATACTTTAAAATCACATATTTTGAGACCTGGTTGAGTGGCCTTCACAAGAGTTGCAGGGAACACCCAAGGACCGTAGTTTATTACAGTTTTACAAGGTAAGGGGTAAGGGTCCTAGAGTGAGTTTTATTTTTGTCTGAATCTGAAATGGTTAATATATACCTAAACACTGGTATTTGACTGAGCAACAACTCAATTTGTGGTTGTATGATTAAGAAGTATTTATTCTAAGTTTGCAGCCATACAGATAAACTAAAATAGACTTTGTTGGTTTTGCTGTTCTCAGTTGGCATCCAGTGTAGTTCACCTGTTTGTTTTGATCTGATGTGCCAGGTTTCCTTTATGATATTCCCACACTGTTAGTGAATCTGACTCTTTAATTACATGAATACAAATTAAAATGCTGTAGTCATCATCACTGGTCTGAGTAGAATTGTGGCTGTATAATAACGTAACTGAAAAGTGGGCAAAAATTACAGAATTGAAGATGTAAATCTAGATCTGATCATGCAGCTAGAACCAGGCTGATTCACTAGCAGTGTCACCTACTACTCAGTGCTTTCTGTTGCATGCTCACAAATTTACCTTATCCCTGGTTCCTCCCCAGATAAAAAGATTTCAAAGTGCTGCAAAGTATCTGCAATAAAGCAAATTCCTTGTAGGTGTTGTGAATGCCAGGCAGCGCTTTGCATGTTAAGTACTACCCTGGTTTTGTTTTACTGCTGCAGGACAAAATGCTTTTGTCAGAAATACTGCTCTCTACCCTACGGAGTTTGGTTTCCTGGCTTGGCAGGTATTAGGCTTTTCCCCCTTAATTATCCAAGGAAACCAAGCGTTTGAATTCTGTCGTTTGAATTCTGTTGTGTTGCTCGGCTGCTCTTTGCTCTGCTCTGCTCTGCTGTAGCTTACATCTTTAGCTCTGCTCCCTTTTTCTTTTGCGCTTGCCTGCCTTGGCCCCAGAGCAGTTCCCCTTTCTGAGAGCACTGCTGGGCCTCACAGTAGGCGGTTTGGTGCCACGCCAGCCTGGAGAGCCACGTCCGCTCCCGGCTCGAGCGCGCCCGTGTTCCTGGCCTCAATGTCCCCGCTGTGAAATGGGTTTAGTGGAGCCGGCCTGTCTGGGAACTGCTCTGGCCGACCGATGCAAAGCGTTCTGAGCGTTTGTTACTGCTCACCCCTACCTCGGCTTCACTTCTTTTCCTTACCTCGTTTTTAAGAAGCCTATATTCCCAGTGGCTTTTCTGCCTGTTCCTCGTTCTGCAGAACGCTGTTCAGTCAGCCATAGTCCTGTGGATTTACAGGCCTGCATTTATTTAGCAATCAGTGTCATTATCCCAAAGAAGAGACTCCTTCAGAACTCGGATCCTCTCTTTAAATAAAGGCTCCTGATATTAAAAAGATCAAACTGAAGTGATTATGAAGGAAGAACAAAGAAATCCATGTGTATGTTTTCCTTAGCAGACCTAGATGCGGTGATGCTAAAACCTGCAGGCCATTAAGACATCTCAGTTTCTCGTTTTTCTTACATTTCTGTTCTTCTCAGAAGCAGAAGGGGACATGAAGATCCAATATCTGAAGTAAGGAGGTATATACCGTTTGTGCCATCAGCATTCCCATGCTGATATATCCTGGGTTCAGGTTATAGTGGGTTTTAAAAGGCAATCATACATGCAGTAGCTCTTGGAGCCTGGAGACTACTTTTGCACAAGCTTAGCTTCTTGTTGCCTGTAAAGATCATTGGCTTTTATCAGTTTGCAGTTAAAGGTCATTAAGGCAGCAGGTACAGTATCCAGTTTCTGTGCCTTTTTGAAATTTGTACCTTATCCTCTATGATAAAGAAACCTTAGCTCAAGCAGGAAGAACTAAGGTGCTTTGCAGTTAATCTTTTTAAATCCAGCACAAAGGGAGTTGGGAACTAACGGGGGCTTAGCTGTGTTCTGCTGGATCAATGGCTCCGTGTAAGCAGAAACCTCAACTTTATGCTGCTAGGGCGGTAATACAGAGTCTAATGCCTTTTCTTTCTTGAGGTAGAACTGGGATAGGTGAGCTGTAGTGAACAGCAGCTACCCGTATGTCTTCTGCCCAGGCTGAGTGCCTGTGCCGAGAACAAGAAACGCACGACAGCGGGTCCTTGCCATCCCCCCCGGTGACTGATGCAGGCTTGTGTGTGATTCCAGCTGATGTTCCAGCTGAGCTAATCAATATGTTCATTAGTGCTTCAACTGATGAACATATCTTAGAATTGAACAGAAATAACATAGAATGTCGGTAAGATATAAGCAGAAGGAAGGATGCTTAGGCAGAAATAATCAAGTGTAAATATAATATGTGTATTTATAATCATCATAGAAGCTGCAGAATAATATACTAAGCAGCAGATCTGCAGAAGATGATCTGAGGATCAGAGTGGACCACAAAGATTGTTGGCAGTATTATACAGTTGTCCAGAAAAACAAATGTCACTTTGATATTTTTAAATGGGGTGAATAAATGGAACCCAGGA